ATATTGAAACATGATAACAAGGTTTTGGCAGTAAAACAAGTAAAAAAGGGAAAGCAACTTGGTTCGAAGAGGATAACAATTCTAAAAGAAAAATAAAGACCAGGAACTATAACGTGCATAAAAGCAATAAAGTAAAGAAATATTCTTATAAAATAAAGAGAGTTAATGTATTACAATAAAGAAATGGTGTTTCGACACGTACGTTCTCAATTATGACTCTTTTATCACTTTGACTTGGGTACTTTGAGTAATTTTCTGAGTAACTTGTACAAAATGAGCACACCCAAAAATTGATGTCAACCTCAAAAGCTTGGACTCATCAGTGGACCAAACACTGATGAGGACTGGAGGATCTTCATCAGGCTAGGTGGATGAAATGTCGACCAAGTCTGAAAGTTGTAACCTTTTATAGTGTATCTATTAGCTTTTGAGAATGATTATGGATTTGTAATAGTCTCTTTATCAATAATAACTGATCCGTTTCTCATTGCATTTGTATATTATTCTCTTGCCACTAACATCCTTTGAGTGAGCCACCGGTAGAGATGTCACACAGAAGTTTTCAACCATTTCAGTCGTGTTTTTTTGAAAAACCATTGAAGTTTTGAGGTTTAAGGTTGAAAAGATTCAAGTGTGAGTAATGAGAGTTACATTGTGTGTGGAAAGAGTGCTACAATGAGTTTTGAAAAATGTTTTAATTACACAGACTTTAAAAAAAATAATGATGACATGGGGGGCCCCAAAACATGATTTTATTTTACCCATGAAAATAAATCCTAAAGTTACTCAAACGTTTTTTTTACAGCAGTAAGAATATATATGACAGATGCCATACTTCTTTGCCTTAACAAAAAATGCTTGGTTATATCCATCAATATAGCTCAAAGCACAGAAGATAGAAAATTCCCAGAGGGTTTCTAACTTAGGACCTTCTAACCCTGAAAACCTTTTCACTCAGAGGATTAACTTGTTCATAGTCAAATATCCCAAAGTTATATATTAAATTGAAGGTAAATACTAAATAGTTAAAAACCTCGTGCCAGAAGACCTTTCAAATTCATGACACATAAGTGGACACATGTAAGAAAAAGAAGTTAACAACTTTTCCACTTATATGATGTCATAGGAAACTAATTATATTCTGAGCATCAGAGGTTGAGATGCTTCAGAGGCTACTATTCATTAGAAGCTAGTTTAGAGCTTCTGATCACAATAGCTTTTAATCATCATCAGACTCTAATCTTCTATTCATAAGCAAGCACTAAACTTTTACGAAATGCATGTTCAAATTCTTTTTAATAAAATTACATCTTTTCAATGTTGAAAAACTTGATAAATATATCGGCCCATTGATGATCAATATCAATGAACTGTATATCTATCACACCCTTCTAAACATAACCTCTAGTAAAATGGTGTTTTTTTTCTATGTGCTTGGTTATAGAATGTTGAGCAGGAATTTTTGTCAAATAGATAGCAGCAGTACTATCATAGAAAATAGGAATATTGCTTCCACTTACCTGATAATCTTCCAATTGATATTTCGTCTAGAATAGTTGTGTGCAACAATTTGTAGCTGATATGTATTTTGCTTCTGCTATAGATAAAGCATTAGTTGCTTATCTTTTACTAGCCCAGAGTATAAGGTTTTCATCTATGAATTGATAGTTTTCAATTCTATCTCCAGCATAGTCAGCATTACAAAATCCAACTAGGTTGTAATCTACGGATTTTTTATAAAGCATCCCTAGATTGGTTGTTCCCTTCAGATACCTAAAGTTCCTCTTAACAGTAGTTAAGTGAGTCTCTATAGGATCTGAGCAAAATCTTGCACGTAAGCAGGCACTAAAGAAAATATTCGGCCTATAAGTTATTAAGTAAATTAAAGAGTCAATCATACCTCTATACAACTTCTAACACACTTTGGTGCCACTTTCCTCTTTGCTCATATTGCAGGTTGGATTCATAGGAGTTGTCACGATCTTGCAATCATCTAAATTGAACATCTTTAGAAGTTCCTTTGTATATTTTGCCTAATAAACATAGAATCCATCCTTGCATTGATTGATTTGAATTCCAAGAATAACTTCAACTCTCCCATCATACTCATCTCAAACTAAACCTGCACTGACTTTGAAAATTCTTTACAAAGGAAAGCATTAGTAGAACCAAAGATAATTTCGTCCACATATACTTGGACAATTAAGATATCATTTTTAAGTGTATTTCTGAATAGTGTAGTGTCTACTTTCCCTTTTTGAAAATGATTTTCTAACAAAAAATTACTCAGTCTTTCATACCAAGCTCTGGGAGCTTGTTTGAGTCCCAAGGGTTTCCGAGTAATCTATTCCTTCTTGTTGAGTGTTGCCTTGAGCCAATAGTCTACCTTTATTTATTACCGCTTCCTCTTGCTCATTAAACTTGTTTCTGAATACCCGTTTTTATAATGATGTTCTTCTGATAAGGTTTGAGTACTAGATCCCACACATCATTTTGTTGGAACTGATTCAGCTGTTCTTGCATTGCCAGAATCTAGCCATCATCAGAAAGTGTTTCATCTACAGAAGTAGGCTCAATTATGGAGAGTAGTCACATCATTGAGTGTTCTTCTCTAAAAGCAGACTTTTTATTTCTAGAACTATCTTTATTTCTAAGAATTAACTCTTATGGATGTGAAGAATTATACTTGAAGGTTTTATTATATTGTGATGCTTTTGAGGAGCCATCTTGAGCTTTTTCATAATCTTCTTCATCTAGATGCGCTTCTGAGGTTTGATCATCTTCAGGACCACCAGCTTCTGAAGTTCTGATAGCTTCTGAACATCTAGCTTCTTATGGATTGTTAGCTCCTTAACCTCCAGCTTCTGGACCTCTGGCTTCTTAAGTGTCTCTAAACACATAAATTTCTGAAAAAACTTTGAACTAACTATGACATTTTATTTTTAGGCTCTTTGTTATCAAATTTGATGCGTATTGACTCTTCAACTAATTTGGTTTCAGAGTTATACGCCCTGTATGCCTTTCAGCATTGAAAGTATCCTAAAAAGACACCCTTTTGAATTTTAGCATCAAATTTCTTTAGATAAACCTTATTGTTGAAGATGTAACATGTACATCTAAACTGATGAAAATAAGAAATGCTTGACTTTCTTCCTTTTAATAGCTCATAAGAATTTTTGTTCATAATAGGTCTAATTTAGATTCTAATCTGAACATAATATGTTGTGTTTACAACTTCGCTCACAAGTACTTAGATAAATTATTCCATCTACTAACCAATAATACCTGTATCAATGATCTTCTAGTAGACTGCTTGGTGTGGACCTCCCCTCATCGATGAAAGCAATTTTGAGTTTCTCCTCAGTCATGGCATTACATTTCATTTTAAAGGCTCAGATTTCATCTCAGAATCGGGTCTTACCTAGCTGCTAGCATAACCTCTTTCCTTTTCTTCATCAAAGAATTAAATAAACTCTACTCTACAACATAAACTTTGAAGACATTATTATATAACCCCTATCTCATTCAGGATCTACGACTCTTAAGGATGCCTACCTATTTAAAGCACCTTCTTTAGCGAAAACTTGGGCTAAGACTATTTGGGTCACTAATATTTCTCTATCTAAAACTTTGTTTATCTAGAAATTAATGTTTCAAAAAGTTCCTACTGAAAATCACTTGAAGCTTAGAAACAACGTTTTGGCCTTTAGATGTCGTCTGTGTCGAGAGGTTGAGGAAACTTCACAACATCTATCTTTTTACTTCCCCTTTTCCAGAAAAGTATGGATATATATAGTTCTACAAAGCTATCAACATTGTCCATCCTCCTAACACTCTCGAAGACAACACTCTCAAAGACTGGTGGACTCTTTTTACATTCAACAAATCGAAGCAATGTTCCTTAGTCCTCAAAGTTGTTATCACCTACATCATTTTCCAACTGCTGTAATCAAAGAATCAGAAAGGTTCAGAAGCATTACTCCAAACATCAAACACATCATTGAAAAGACAAACGCTCAACTGCTTTTAAGTGGAACCAACTCTTCATCCACTTTTGTCTTCTTTAGAGAATTTTAAAATCATTAAAGCGTTCAACATTTCAATCAAGCCTCTTAAAAGCACCTAATATTATTTAAGTTTATTGATATCCTCCTCCTTTAGAATAGATGAAATATGATTGTGATGGTACTTACAACCACAACATCCTCTCTGCTGGCTGTGGAGGTATCTTAGAAATAATCAAGCCAATTTTATCATAGTTTTTTTAGATCAAGTTGATTAGTCATCTTCCTATTTTGTAGAATTTTTTACAATTATTAAAGTTATAGATAATAGTTAGTTCAAGTTTTAAATTAAAATCAATTCAATCATTATAGTGCAAGCTTTCAACAAACCCTCCTTGTTGCCTTGGCAAATAAGTAATAACTCATTTTATTGTTTAACTTATTTTGCACAAAGATACATTTTCATATCGCACATTTATATTTAAAAAAAAATGCATATACTAAATTTTTAACAACATAAGGTGAGTGTAATTCTCGAACATTTTTTTATGGGTTTGGAAATTGGCCCCATCTTTTGTAATATATGGTTTAAGAGCTTTCATTTAAAAAAATATTATTATTTAAATTTTTTTTATATGATATGATCCGTACAAGTGTGCCGACTTGAACAAGTGGATGATTTACCAATTTAACCTCTCTTATGGAGTAAACTTGTCATAAAGAAGGAAAAAGAAACTCCTAAACCAATAACAATGCAGCACATGGAAATTGAAAACAAAGAGTCACTAAAAAAGATATTTTTATACTTCTTTAGTTTTATTTTATCCCCTTAATTTATGGATAATATTTCCATAAAAAGTATTTCACAACCTTATTACTAGGACTAGCACGTTACCCTCTATAACTCACATCCCCATTCTTTCTTCATTCACAAGATTCACTTTCTTCTCTCTACTCAACAATCAACGTGATCACCTCCATCAACCATCATCAATAATGGAGGTTAGTTCTATTTTTCTTATTCCTCTTCCATGAAAACTATTTCTCTCCTTTTAATCACCCAATTTCACTTTTTTATTTATTCTCTAGCAAGTTGTTTAAATATATAATATTTTCTCAAAATCATCCTCCATGATAAAACATAAAAAAATATTGATGGAGAATCATGAATCAAAATCAACGAGGCATGCGATGCGACTGCATGACACGCAACGCGCATCACCCACACATGATCAAAAACCATTTAAGAAAACGACACCGACAATAACCTCGTTATTATCATCATCGGATCTAGTTCGGATTTCTTTGTTCTTCCGGATCTGAGAACGCGGTGGGGACACGTGCGACGCGTTTCCGCCACGTGCCAACTACTTTTTTTGTCTTTTTCTTTTTCGGGTATAAATTATGAGACTCTGTGTGAAGTGATTCGTGTGAGTCTAATAATTCAATGTCGAAAATGTCGCAGCTTTTAGACAAAGCCAAAAACTACGTTGCTGAGAAAATCGGTGAAATGCCGAAACCAACGGCGAGTATAACCGACGTTGATTTCAAGCGCGTGACCCGCGAGAGTGTGGAGTATTTGGCTAAGGTCAATGTTTCAAACCCTTATTCAACTTCAATTCCAATCTGTGAGATCAACTACTCCTTCAAAAGTGCTGCAAGGTTTTTTTCTTCTTTTAAACCTACCCTTGTTCTTTCATTTTCAATTTTGATTAGATCTATGATGTTTGATTTTGTGTTTGGTGATATTCAATCAGGGAGATAGCATCAGGGATAATACCAGATCCAGGATCATTGAAAGCAAGCGACACAACACTGCTTGAAGTGTTAGTGAAAGTGCCTCATAATATATTGATTAGTTTGGCTAAGGATATTGGTGCTGATTGGGATATTGATTATCAATTGGATATTGGTTTGATTATTGATCTTCCTGTTATTGGCAATTTCACCATTCCCCTTTGTCAAAAGGGTGAGATCAAGCTTCCATCACTTTCCGACATGTTTGTGTAGTTTGATCCAAACCTCTAAACATCAAACAATAATATAAAATAAATAAAAATGTTGTCGATTATCAGTGTTTATTTACTTCCCCCCCTTTGGTTGTTGTACTTTTTGTATCATACAGGTGTTATAATACTAAACATTACTACAGTACTGTTATACTTAAATATGAATAAACACTTGCAGTGGAGAACTAATAGGCTTATGTAATATGTAGAATCTTGCTTATTTGGTGAAAAAATGATGTAAAAGACAATCAAGAATATAGAGACACTTATGTAATTGATAATATACTCACAAGATTGTATTTAGTGTTTAAATAGTTGAAAAATCCTTTAGAAGAAAATGAATTGCATAGGTATTATTTATATTGACATATTAGAAGGAAATCTACAACTGAATAATTCAATAACAGAATTGAAAAAAAAAAAAAAAAAGGTAATCTCAGAAGTGGACACGTCTGAATGTTCAAAATATGGTCTTTACTGTTCAGAATATATCTCTATGAGTTTTGAACGCTGCTACCAAAAATCAGGACGATTCGACGATTGAATTGTGAAAAATCTCAATCTCATGAAACTGCTCTATGCTAAATTGAGGTTGTGGGAATTTCCCTCTTCTCTTAATTTTTCTTTTGTTGTTTCTCACCAATCCGACTACCTACATTCATTTAGGTCATTCTAAATAGGAGAGATAACTCAACAAACTTTTCCGACTGACTAGTTGGAGGATAATACCAATCTGACTACCGTGCGACAAAGCTCAAACTTTTTCCTAGAAAACACTTTGGTCAACGTATACGAACCATTATCATCGTGTGAATCTTCTTAAGCTCCATCAACTTGGAATCTAATGCATCACAAATTCAATGATAACGAACATCAATATGTTTCGACCTCGAGTGAAAGGAGGAATTCTTCGATAAGTGAATGACACTTTGATTATCACAAATCAAGACATACTTTCCTTGTTTCACATCAAGTTCCATTGTAAATTTTCTCAACCATAACAACTTTTTTGACGTTTCCATGATGGTTATAACTCGGCTTGGGTAGTAAAAAGTGCAATACACTTTTGCAACTTTGATTGCCAAGCCACAACTCCCCCGAAAAAACTCACCATATACTCCGAACTAGATTCTCGATCATCTAAGCTTCCAGCTAGATTTGAATCCATATACCCAACCAACACAGACTTCTTGCATCCAAAGGTTAGCTTCAAATTCGACGAGCCACGCAAATATCTCATCACCCACTTCACGGTCTCTCAATGATCTTTTCCCTTATTTGAGAGATAACGACTCACTATTCTCACGACATGAGAAATATCGGGTCTTGTACAAGCCATATCATACATCAAACTACCAACAGCCGACGAGTAAGAAATGTTCTTCATACTCAACTTTTCTTCGTCCGTAGATGGACATAGTTTATGACATAGCTTGAAATGAGAAGCAAGTGGAATGCTTACCGCTTTAGCCTTATCGTACTAAAACGCCGAAGGAATTTCTCCACATATATTTCTTATGAGAAGTACAACTTCTTCTCATTTCGATCTCGAACAATTTCAATACCAAAAATTTTCTGAGCCTCTCCTAAATCCTTCATAGAAAAAGATTCACTCAAAGTTTTCTTCAACTCGTTAATTCTTGAAATATCTTTTTCAATAATTAGCATATCATCCACATAAAGAAAGAGAATAATGAAACCACCTTCGTAGAAATCTCGGAAAAACACACAATGATCGGCCTTGGTCATCTTATACCCATGTTCAATTATCATCGAGTTAAACTTTTGACACCATTGGTGAGATGCTTGTTTCAAACCATAAAGACTCTTTACCAATGTGTAAACATAATCTTCTTTGCCTTTCTTTCAAAATTCATCTGGGTTCTCGATGTTAATTTCTTCATGTAGATCACCGTTAAGGAAATTTGTCTTCACGTCCATTTGCTCTACTTCCAACTCAAGACTAGTGGTTAGCCCAAGAACCACTCGAATAGATTGCATCTTCATAACCGGAGCAAACATCTTGCCAAAGTCAACACCTTTATGTTGTTTAAAACCTTTTACCACCAAGGGAGCCTTGTATCTTCTTTGAGAAGCACACTCATCTTGCTTAATTCGATAAATCCATCTATTTTTCAATGCTCTATTACCCTTTTGCAACTTCACAACATCAAAGGTATTATTCTCACGAAGTGATTGCATTTCATCCTCTATGGTATCCATCCACTCCTTTTTGTTCTCATCCTCCAAAACTTCTTCAAAGCTTTCGGGTTCTCCACCATCGGTAAGAAAAACACACTCATTCAAAAGGTATCGAACGTAAGGGCTTTTATCACGAGTAAACCACCTTAACTCATTAGAAGTAACCAATTGACCAACACTTTCAAACTCTTGATCAACCTCATTTTCAACAACATCTTCCATAGCACCTACATCAACAATATAATTAAAATTTAAAATATTATCAACATTAAAATCCATACCTTAATTTTCAATTGGAAAATCTTCCAAAGTGATAGGGGTAGGAGTAATAGTAGTTGAGTTTGTATTAACCATCTCTTCATCTTCAAAAATCAGATATTGATTCTCAAATTTGTCAATGTCCTCAATGGTTTAATCCTCCATGAATGCGACATCACGACTACGAATAATCTTTTGTTGATTAGGATCAAATGATCGATACCCAAACTAATCAATACCAACCCAACAAACACACATTTCTTCATCTTATCGTCCAATTTCAATCTCTCATCCTTCGAAATGTGCATATAAGCCATGCACCCAAACACCCGAAGATGGCCGTAGTAAACATATTTACCACTTCAAACATGATTTGGAACATCAAACTTCAACAGAACACACAGAATGAAATTTAAAAGATGTACAACCGTGCTAAATGCTTCTTCCTAAAAGTATTTCGGCAACTATGATTGAGAAAGTAAATATGTCACTCTTTCCACTAAAGTTCAATTCATTATTTTGGCTAACCCATTCAATTGTGGTGTCTTTGGAGGAGACTTTTGATGACGTATACCTTGATCTTGACAATACTTGTCGAAAGGTCCAACATACTCTCCACCGTTATCGGTTCAGATACACTTGATCTTTTTCCTCGTTTCTCTTTTAACCGATGCTTGAAATGACTTGAAGGTGTGTAACACTTGATCTTTCATCTTGAAGGAATAAGCTCGTGTTTTCCAAGAATAATCATCAATGAAAGTCACAAAGTAATATGCACCACCAAGAGATCGTGTATTCATCCGACCACACATATCGAAATGTACTAAATTCAACACTTCTGATTTCCTCTTTGGTTCGGATGACATAAAGGAAACTTGCATTTTCTTACCCTCAAAATAATGCAAACACTTTCTCAACTTTGCATCGAAAACACCATGCAAGACATTCTTTTTTTCCAAAATGCTCAAACCATTTTCACTCATATGAATCAAACAGTTATGTCGTAATTCAGATGAGCTATCACTGTCACAAGTGTTGATGTAACACTTCGAAACCCCAAGTTGGATGATATACAAGTTTGAATTCCTTTTTTTTCCCTTTAGAAATCACCATTGAGCCTTTCTTTAACTTCCATTCATTGTACTAAAAAGGATTATCATATCCTTCATTATCCAACTTTCCAACGTATAAAAGGTTAAATCAAAGTTTCAGAATGTGTTTCATGCCTTTGAGAACTAGAGTAGTCCTATTGCTAGTTTCGACATAAATATCTCCTACTCCGGTGAAATTAGCTTGTCCATTATTTCCCATACAAACAACCCCAAAGTCACGGGTCTCGTAACTTGAAAAAAGATCACCTCTCGAGGTTGGATGAGTAGGAACACCACTATTAACCACCCAATCCATCCTATCACATGATAGATTGACATTCTCTATACAAATATCACAAACAACAAAGAAATAATAAACAATAGCAACATCTTCATTATTGTTACCTTCCTTTTTGTTGTTGTTGTAGTTCTTCTTCTTGTTTTCCCTTTTCAACTTCCGAAAATACCTTTTTATGTGTCAGTTTTCCCCTAAATGATGACACTCAATATTAGAAAATCTATTAGATCATTCTTATGATTTACCACATTATGTCCTGTGATTGCTTGAACCTCTATTTTGATGTCGATTTGGTAACCAACACCTCGGAATGTGAAGGACAACCTTGTGACTTACGCCTCAACTCCTCATTCAACACACTACTTTTAGCAAAGTCCAACAAGATGATACCATTCAGAGTGGAGTTAGACAAGGATGTCCTAAAAGTCTCCCAAGAATTAGGCAAAGTACCAATAAGCCTCAAACCTTGATTTTCATCATCAAAAGTAAGATTCATCTTCGACAATTGATTTAGAATCCCTTGGAAAATGTTCAAGTGATTGGTCATTGGTGAACCGTCACTATACCTCAATAACGTCAATTACTTAAATAAGAACAACTTATTGTTTCCCGTTTTTCTTGTATACAACTCATCTAGTTTAGTCCAAAGAGAGTGAGCATGAGTCATCGAGCTCACATGATTTAAAATATTATCATTCACCCATTGACAAATATAACCACAAACTTGTCTATGCAACAAAGTCCATTCTTCATCACTCTGTCCATTGGGTTTTTCACTAGAGAAAATGGGCAAGTGAAAGCCTTTAAAATAAAGTAAATCTTTCATCTTCCTTTTCCAAACATTATAGTTGGATCCATTCAAACTCACCATCCTAGATGTGTTCATCTCCATTGTTACACAAATCAAGCCAAGCTCTGACATCACTTGTTGGGAGAAAATCCACAATGCAACAGAATAATCCAACAAAACAATCTCTACCAAATACCAAATGCAACGATAATCAACAAAACACACCAAATAACACAACACAATTTTAGCGTGGAAAAACCTCTATTAACTAGGAGTAAAAATCCACGGGACCCGTAAACCACTTAAATATCCACTATAATCAAACAATGGGTACAATAAAGGTTCTATCTAAAACTAGTTAG